GCAATACAGCAACAGCAGCTAGAGACAACAGGGACAGGACAAGGAATCCCTCATCCATCGGAACTACAACCCGGTGGAGACTACTGGTACAGAGAAGGACCACATTGGAAACGAGTCCACGTGCAACCTTGCACAGCCTTGTACATACCAGAGCAAACAGACGATGGACCGGACATCACAAAGCTGAGTCCGTACAGGCTGACAAAGATACGACCAGCAGGAAACGAGGACAACTCCAAGGTCATACGAGATGAATGGACAGCACAGCAACCAAAGGTACACAACACACCCTGGACAAACTTCGAGGAACAAGAACAGTACCCAACACAGCGGGAGTCAGACGACGAAGAACAACAACAAGGAGAGCAAGAGCGGTACAAGCACCTAAGCAGCCTACACCACAGGAGGTACTGGAACACAACGTGACACATCTTCCGTACAGGAGTTGGTGTCCAATATGCGTACAAGCACGAGGCAGAGCAAACAACCACCCGAAGCAACAGAGCACACTTCCAATAATACAACTCGACTTCGCGTACCTGAAAGGCTTCGACGACAGCAAGGTACATCCAATCCTCACAGCAATCGACATGCAATCAGGAATGATGATGGCACTACAACTGACAGAAAAGCAAAGACTCTTCAACTACGCTGTGCAACAACTACAACAGTTCCGCAGAACAACACACGTGATACCACAATCAGACCAGGAAGACTACCTGACAGCGCTCACAAAGGCAGTGGCGAACACAATGGGAAACATAACCACACGCACGTCGCCAGAATACTTAGACAATCCAACGTCGTGCGTTGGACACCTTTTTGCGCAAACGGCATCTGACGATGCCAAACGCAGCCAGGCCTACAAGTCGCGGCTGTTCTCGCCAAATCGCGGCTCAATTCTCGCCAGCTCGCGGCTGAATTGCTGCCAAAGTGTATCATTCGCAACAGGGCGCATCAGACGGCGTCGTTTGTAGAAACGATGTCCAACGGACATCATTGGATGCTCTAAGTACAGCTCACAGTCACAAGGCGGCGTAGAGCGAGCACACCGCACACTTTTCGGACAGATACGAACACTGAGAGCACAAATACTGCAGAGCTATACAACAGAACAGTCACGATGACACACCCGATAATGCCGTGGATAGTGCGACACAGCGCATACATCGTGAACAGATACGCCATACACGCAAACGGATTCACAAGCTTCTACAACAGATGGCACAAAGAGCAACATACGCCACTGTGTGAATTCGGCGAAACAGTGCAGTACATGGTTTCGTCAGTGAAACAATTCCCAAAGCTAGAGCCACGCTTCTACAACGGAATATGGCTTGGGAAAGATACAACCGCAGGCGAATCCCTGATAGGAGTACACAACAAGGTGTTACGCACACGCACAATACGACGACAGGTCAAACCGCACAAGTACAACCAACAACTTGTCGAAGTAATAAACGTCTGACCTTGGCGTACACCAGCATCGGAGCTCACGACACCAACAGCGCCGACCATAACGACGCCAACAATGCTGCCGTTACCACAACGACAACAGCAAACGGCGAAGCAGCACAAGGACGCTACAACAAGCACGACAGCAGACAGCAAGCGCAACAACGGCGAACAAAAGGAAGGCGGCTCGCCGACGAAACAGCAGAGAACAACAGAGCCCACATCACCGATGGCTACAGCGCCACCTACGGCGCAACGACCGGCACTACCGATGCCTACATCACCAACACGACCACGACCGGACGAAGTCACAGAAGGCAGTACAAGCAAGCAGCAGAAGACAACAGCAGGAGCACAAGCAAAGGAGAGACCTACTACAGGAGAACAAGCACAACGCAAAATGAGGATAAACGCAATCACAGTCACAACAAAGGATGGCAAACAGGTTGAAACAATCTCAAATGAGGATCCACAGGAGATAGACAATGAAAGGATAACTGGATCCAACAAAGGTCGCAACAGGAATGAAGAAGGAGATGCAACAAATGAAGGAACAAGGAGTTTACACGGAAATCGACGGCAACACACTCACAGCCGAACAACGGTCCAACATCGTAGAGTCAAGATGGGTACTTCGACCGAAACAACAGGAAGTACGAGCACGGATCGTCGCAAAAGGATACACCGAAAAGATCAGTGACAACGACCTAATCTACGCAAGTACACCACTGTTCTGTATCCTACGGATACTGCTTACAATGGCGTTGACAAACAACTGGGCAGTACGTACAGGCGACGTAAGCGTAGCATTCCTACATGCAGCAGCAGCAGCAGCACTCAACATCATCATGAGACCACCACAGGAGTTCTACGACGACATTAACAGACACATAATGTGGAAACTGAGCAAACAATGGCAGGACCACATAGCAGAAGTCCTCACAGCACTAGGGCTGACAAGGCTCAAAACAGAATCAAACGTATACAGGAACAAATCCGGAACAGCATACATCATGGTCTACGTAGATGACCTGCTGTTCATCGGAGAACAATCCGAGATAGACATCCTGTTCGACAAAATCATGAAACAGGTCCTACTTCAATCAACAGGCAAACTCACAACAGGCAACACAATCACTTTCCTTGGAAGGAACATCACGCACAAAGGAGACCACATCGACATCAGCCCGGAGGACAACTACATCGACAACATCCTGAGAGTCCAACATGACAACATGCAATGCAGCACCAGCACCCGGGATATCACATCCCAAAACTACAATAGAAGGCGAAACACCACTCGACCAGGAACAGCGCTCAGCATACAGGCGATTGGTCGGCAAGATACAATGGCTAGCATACACCAGACCAGAGGTACAAGACATTGGAAACACACCATCAGGCCAACAGCACAAATCCAAGACAGAAGAATCCCAATCAACATCGACGTCTACACAGATGCCAACTGGGCACCATGCGAAACAACACGCAAGAGCACAACAGGATTTGTCATACATTTCCTAGGAGCTACAGTTCACTACGGGAGCAGAACACAGGCTACAATAGCTGATTACATCAGCAGAATCAGAGCTATATGCAATTGGTACAGCAGCACAAGAAAGCATCTACATCAGCAACTTTGTTCAGGAGGCGTTTGACACAAAGACCAACATCAGAATACACACAGACAGCAGCTCGGCTAAATCAATAGCCATGAGAGAAGGTACATCACAGAAAGCAAAACACATAGAACTACGATACTTGTTCATGCAACAACTGGTCAAGAACAAGACCATCACAATGTGCAAGATACGATCGGAACACAACCCATCGGGCATACTAACAAAGTTTGTCCCAACAGAAACACTGCACAGACATCAGTACAAGGTAGGCTTGCCTAGCCAACCTTGACATCACACACAGCAACGACAACAGTATCACCCACAGTTTGCACTGTAGTAAGTTTGCACAGTATGCTAAGCATCAGCTGCACAGGTCACATATCCTTGTTTCACTACATATCAGCCGGCTAATTAACACTTAGGGTAGGCACATAGCCATGGTACTACCCCTGCGCTCTGCATACATTTTGCGGGTACAACGATGACCCCGTTTGCACTACAACATTTGAATACAGTTTTGCATGATAGTTTGAAGACAGCTTGATCACATGTTTCTTTTCTGCAGCCATTTACATTTGCCTCTGTACAGCTGAAAGGGATACATTGCATCGACAATGGCTTACCGTGCCTACAAGTCGATTCATCCGCAGATGACAGTGCTGGAAGGCTTCACACTGGAGCCTACAGTGGGCACAAATGCCTACAGGGCTCCTGTCGAGCCGAATGATTACACAACGGTCATGATCCCGCTCACCACAGAGCAATACACGTTCATGACCACTGGCCACAAAGGGGCCAAATGTGGTTGACGAGATTCCGGGCTACATGCGTGCCCCTACATTGGGCTTCATTGGAATGCTCTACAGCATCATGGACGCCATTGGATACATGAGCTGGTTGATCCACAGCGGCCGAGACAGCACCGAAGACATGAGTAGGTGCTACATCTACCGCGTTTCTTTGAATACAGCTGAAATTTTGCAACGCGTGTATGAAAAGAAGATCACACTTTTCAACCGCGGCTACATCGGATTAGTCCTGCAGCTACAGGAGCATCACACCTGGGTGATGACACAGGTTGAACAGAACACTGGTACATTTTTCTGTGTGAGTGGTGACATCAGGAACCTGTACCAGAATTGCAATTTGACGAATGGCTACATGATCTTGCAGCACATTGTCCTCAACATTGAGCACATGATGGACACAGAGGACATGTTTGACCGCAAACATGCAGGTTTGTCCATGGCCATTTGCCAACACACATATTGCCTCATTGCAGGCCGTACAGGAACCGCTCCGTACAAGACTTTTCCACTACATCCTTGAGCACAACTTGCAATTGGCTGGAGGCATCAAAGACCTTATCCCTCGACAGATTGGATACAGCGATCAGTGCTTGCACTTGCGCTGTCACAGCACAACGGATACAAGATGCTCAACAGCAAGCGTATCCGGGATGAGAACAACTGAGCACCCTCACAGCAGGGAGATACATTTTGGCCCACAGTGGCACACCGGATTGGCACAGCGCATCTTACTGACTACAACACTCCGACCTCAAGAGATACAGTTGTACAAATGACACCGCAGCTGCAAACAGTTTTTTGCGGACACATTTTACATAATCTCGATCCACAAGGAGTTTGGAGCACAGTGCTTGGAACTTCAGTTTGTACATTAGCCACAATTTGTACAAACTGAGGAGGCGAATTAAGATGCAAGTCACTGTACAGGTGACCACAGCCGCGCTGATTCACACAGGTATTCACATTAGGCAATCAGGTATACAACAATAGCATTGAATTTAACATATATATATATATTAATATATATATATATATATCTATCTATAGAAACACGACGCCAAATTGATGGAGCTACCCGCAGCCATCGTAAATTGCGCTAAGCTGAGGCCATGGCGGCCACAATGGTGACAATGAGGACGTTGCCATAACCCTTTGCCGTCGATGACTTGGCAGAGGTGTAGTGCCCCGGACCAAAAGCACCCCTGGCAGGTTCCGTTCCGAACAACACAACCCAAGCCAGCTCGCGGCCAACGTAGCCACCAGCTGCAAGAAACACAAATACCCACCTACCAATACTACAAGACTTGGTTGTTCAATCATTCTCAACAGCCAGCAATGCACCACATTCAGCCAGAACGCCTGTTCTGTGTGTTGGCCGACAAGTGCTTGATCTGGAAGCCGCCACGGATGATAGAACAGGCTCGGCAGCCTCGACAGCTCACACACGAGCTCTCTTCCAATGCAAGGCACGTGCCATCTGTTAACCAACTGCCTGTGAAAAGACTGAAAGTAAAAACAGAAAAGGCCCACGGCTTCGCCCTCCAAAGGCGGCTAATCCTCCAGGCTCGCCTGGATTGGTGCACGGCTGCCCGGAGAAGGCGCAGCTCTGCCCTCGGGCGCAGCGCTGCCGGATGCTGGGGTGACCGGGCGCGCTCCCCTTTGCGCTCCAATTTTGCTGGCATTCCTACCCGATCCCACCAAACACAGTATGGAAAGAATGGAGTGATCTGCCAAGGCTCGTGTGCCGTGGAAGCGCCGTTGTTGGTTGGCGAGTTTGCTTCCATTGCCATGCGCCGCCATGGGCCCAATTCTGCTGCATTTACTCAGGGCGGATCAAATGGCACCCATGCAGGCAACGTACGAGAACCCTCTCTTGAGGTGACACCAAAGGCAAGTGATGCTTAAGATGCTTTAGTAAGCCCGTCCTGTGATAAGCTGTTGCTACCGCGCTGCTCGCCTGCCACACCCGCAGCCCGGCGTGGAATTGGTGAAGGGAAGGAAACACGTGAAGGCCAAGACACGTGGATCTTGAAGATGGCGCGGATCTGCGGCGGGCTGCCCGAGTTCCAAGACCGCTGGAACTGCCTCCGGGAACAAACAAACTTGCGGTAGCCTGGCGAGCTGGCAACTTGGCGACCTGTGGCATGTCCGGGGCTCCGGCTGTTTCACGCTGTCGCACCTTGGGAAACTCTCACGGCTGCAAATCATAAGCTGACGGAAGGAGCCCTCCGAGCTAAAAAGTCCAGGAAACAACGGACATCACACAATATGTGGTTTAGTGTGGCGCCTTCGCGCAGGGCCAAACCAAGTCAAGTAGACACACCCAGTCGCAAAACAAAGCGGCACGCGGCCGGTGCAAACCCCGAAGCAAACCACTCCCTTCCAAATGACAAATCACGGGGGACGCACAACTAGGGGTGGTCACTTCTGGGCCAAACCACAAGACTGCTAGTGCAAACAAGTCCCCCCCGAAAGCTGGCGACCGCAGCCTAACCAGTTCCCCATCAACAGCTCCTTGAGACGCTGTCGCGCGATGTGACGATGCGGGTCCAAAAGAGCCCCCAGCTTAAAATAAAATAGAATCAAAGGCAGCAGGACTCGCTGCCTTCAAACTGTTAAAGCGAACATGCGCAAATTCACAAAACACGTGATGCACGATGATGCAAGCGTAACCCCCCTCATACAAAGGCCTTCCTCGACGGTAACACTCGAAAGGAGAGCAGCCGATGCTCAGAGAATTCATCGGTGTAACTGTAACGAGTAACGAGTAACGAGGCAATGCCAAAACCGAAGGAATATTTGACATGTTTTTGCATCATGATCTGAACACCCATAAACGCCCATAAAGCGACGTAAGACAGTGAATCCAAGCCCTTGAGGGCTGGCAGCTTGGTGCGGGCGGCGTCTGGGCGCATGCAGCAGGGTTCGGCCAACTTGTTGTAGGCACAAGACCCCTCGCTTGAAGTCCAGAGACGAGTCCTGCCAGCAGCGCTTGTCAGCAGTGCTGGGGCACGTCGCGGGCCTCTGGCAACACTTTCACGGCCCTTTCTTTGCAAAATGCCTCTCGGACCCAAGCTCGCCATGGCTGGCCTCTACGAGGGCTGGTCGTGCCCACACCAATCTTGAATGACGTCGTCCGCTTCAGTTTAATTCTCCTTCCTCACTGTGAGGCCTGCAGCGGGGTCCTTTCCCGGCATCTTGAAGAGCGTGAGCGCGTGCTTGGCAAATTCGCATCTTGCTCCCGGAGGCCGCCGGAGGCGACTGCTTTCCCAAGAACGGGAGGCGTCCAATTGTCCGGTCATCCGTCGCCAGCTCTCCCAAGCCGCCTTTTGGCGTCAGCAAGGGGCCTCTTCGCATCGTCGGTCTGCTTAGCACGTCGGTTCCTCTGGGTAGCAAAGAAGGCGCAGCGCCCGCAACGCCGTTGATTCGGTCAGCGTGCTGCCAACGTCGCAAATCTAAATCTGCCAGAGAGCTCTGCCCTTTTCGGCATGTTTCGGCCTTAGCATCGTTCAAGTGGCACCATTGCAGAGTGGACATTTTGAAACGCGACCCCGGAAGGCGAAGGACGCCCAACAAGCAGAAAGAAAGCCATGCGTGTCAGCAGCAGAACAAATGTGCATTGCGCGCCTCGGGCCTGCTGAAATGGGCAAGGGGTCACCTTTGAAGCCTTTTCCTAGCGCGCGGCTAGCGCGGATTGCCGCACATGTTTTCTGGAATCCCCGGCGGCTCCCGCAAAAGCAGCTTAAACAAAAATAGCCCACAGTCCAAATGCATAGGCATGAGAAATGAAGGCGCCCTCAATCATATCACCAACAAACTATACTACACTATCCTAGCGCGAACCTAGCGCCAACCTAGCGCTGCCGCGCGGGTTCATTAATTTTAGGTGGGTTTAAACGAAATTGAAAAACACACCTCGCACATCTCAAATGTCCCCTTGGTACCTATTTTTACACAAGGCCCTTTTCGACTCGATCCATTTACGCCCTCCGAACCGTAGCATTCATGGACCTGCTCGGTCTTGAGCTCACTTCTTTCACCATCAAGGGCCTCCTCACTCGATGGCCCTGAGCTTGCTGCTCGCAGTAGCTATCAGGCTGACCAGAACTCCTTTCGGAAAGTGCCTGCCAGCCAAATGATTTGCTCGGTGGTTGAGATCGGTCACAAATGAGGCCCCTCGTGCGCGACGACTGTGCGCTGACACACGGCCCAGAAGACGCCCTCAGATCCGACGATGGTGTTGCGGCAGTTGACGCTCAAGGCGGGCAAGCGGCAGGCGAGGAGAACCCGCAGTCTAACGTGAAATCTTCGCGCAGGGCAGTGTAAAGAAGGCTCACAGAACCACACAGACAAATACACCAAACGCACCCAGTCGAACAGCAAAGCGGCACGCGGGCGGCACAAACCTCAAAACATCAATGCAAGGGTTCTCCAACGTTTTCCAAAGGCACGTCACAAAGAACGCAAACATAGGAGTGACCACTTCCGGCCAAAGCCAAAAGCTGCTAGAGCAAGCGTGTTCCCCTGCAAGCCGGCGCCCGTAGCCTAGCCTGCTTCCTGCCCGCGCAGAGGCCCCACGAACGAGACACTATCGTTTGACGTTGGTCGAAATTCAAGGGCATGCGAAGGCCCCGGCAGCAGGAAGCGCTGTACGAAACACTTGAGAAAACACAAGCTGCCAGGTGGTGTGTGTGTGGGCTTACTGTCTGTTTGGATGACTTCTGTGGCGCGCTTCCTGCAGAGAAGCGAGGCTCAAGCAAAACATGAACCTGACACGGCACTGAGCGCAGCCGGGCCACTCTTGCCACGTGGCAGGCGCGCAGGATGCCCCCGCCTGACATTCTCAGCAACGCAAGAACTGCCAGCCAGTTCCAAAAGCAACTCCACGGTGGGCAGGGGAACAAACTTGAGAAGAGGAGGAACGAAAGCGAGCACGCATTTCACGGCATTGGACTATTGGAGGGGAAGAAGCAGCCAACAATTTTGCAAATAGCCCTCTGTATGTGGCACTGTTTTGGATATTGCGCGTGGAAGTGGAAGAAGCATTACGCGGGAAGCGCAGGCCGGACAGTTCGCACATTAAATAATGCGCGCAGGGGACGGCCGCGCAACAAATGCCAAAAGACCGCGCCAGCAAGAGTAGGGACCCCAAATAACGAGGTCGTTTTGACCACGACAGGGCCTAAGCAATCCCCCAATAAAGCTCACAAGAAGCATGAATGGAGAGGGGGGTTGAAAATGGCTGGGAAGGAAGAAGAGCCAGGAGAAGAACGACAAAGCAAGCGGGAATCATTGCGGGGAAGGAGAGTGGGGAATGAGAAGCAGAGCTGAACAAAGAGCGGAGAAGAGCGAGGAGAGGCAGAATTGCAGGGAAACCAATGTTCCAAGCCCATTGGCCATCTCAGCTTGCCACGCGAGCAAAGACTTCAGCTAGCGAAGGCCAGCTTTCCTGATGATGATTCATTGCCTGTGGGACATCTAAATCTTCCCAGCCCTATTTCAGAGAACTCCGAATGGGCCACGAACCTATTCATGCGCTCAACTTGCTGGAGCACTGAAACTCCAGCCAGCAATTGGTGACATGCTGCTAAATCATGATCTCAAGGCAGAATCTCTCCTGTGATCAGAGCGACGCCGGACATCAGAAGCAGCCCCCCTGAATGCTTGCACAGGCCGAGCATGCATTGTCATAGTTGTTCCAGCTTGATCCAATGCCGCGAAAACAGCGCAGCCGCATAAGTTGAACAGTCATACATTGCCAAACACGCTTGCACTCCTGCAAGCCCACACGCCTGTGAAGCAGCTGCTGCAGTTGGCACGGCAGAAGTTGAGCTGTCTCGGCACGATTTGCTGCCTCAGAACGAAACCAGTTACTGACGCATCGAACCAACCGCCACGTATAGTACGCTCCATCAGCATCACCGGGATGCAAATGGAACAGTGGAAGCAAGGTGTCGCCAGCTTGCTTGGAAACGCTTCGTACAATGCTGGCCGGGCCGCAGTACTCGCCCTGCGCGCCGTTCCAAGACGGTTTTGAGCACCCGGGGCGGGCGCAAGTCACACCTGCAGCCTTAGTCGCCAGCCAGGCACAATACTCAAAGACTCCAATCTTGGCCACGCAAAACAAGCGCCAGCTGGGATATTTTACGAAACCCCGTCACCTTTTGTGTACCCTGAAAACCGTCATCTTTGTTTTTCCTCCTATCGTTTTACAGGGTCTTGAACATGACCTAGGTAACTCCTCTCTCCAAAGAAGAACGGCCCCCCAATGACAACATTCTCCAGCCCCGGAACATACGAAGTACACTTTGACAGCTCCAGCTCCAAAATCTCAACTTTTTGAGTAATTACAAGTGTAGTACGCAAACTCACTTTGACAGCCCCAGCTCGAAAATCGCAACTTTTCAGTACAAGTCGCAAAGTGCACTTTGACAGCTCCAGCTCGAAAATTGTAACTTTCCACTACAACTGTAGCACACGCAGTACATTTTGAAAGCTCCAGCTCGAAATCCGTCACTTTTCCGTACACATGTAGTTCACGAAATGCACATTGACAGCTCCAGCTCAAGAACCGCAACTTTCAGTGCAAGTGTCACAGTACACAGCTCCAAAAGCACAACTTTTCAGTACAATGTGTAGTACAGGAAGTACACTTTGACAGCTCCAGCTCGAAAATTGCAACCTTCAGTACCAGAATGCCGTTTTCAGTACGGAATGAGCTGGTGCTTATCAAGTCCCTTCTTCATACGAAACGTTGTCGTTTTCATTATCGTTTTGTTATCGTTTTGTTGTGGTCGCTTAAAAAACCTCAAGCCTGCGAAAGGCTCTCCCACACCAGGTGAGCACGCGACAACACAACGTGTGCGAGAAACAATTGGAGCCTTTTTGTGCGACAAAGGCCCTGGACCACAGCATGTAACATGGCATACAAAAATATTATCGCTGTTGTTTCCTCTGTGTTGCTTTGCAAGCACAAAGCAATCTGGGGACCAGTTCTTACTAAGCCCGTGAGAACGGGGCTTGTTATACAACTCCGTGCGCACAACCTTGCGCAACTCAGGAAGCATTTCGAAGCCTGATTTCCTCACTAAATGAGTCGTTGCATAACGCTGATCAGTTGTTGTTATCATTATGGTTTACTCATGTCGTTTTCCAGCAAAATCTCCAAAACAGCAGTCCGGGGCTCCTCCCTTGATAGTTTTATACAATCCCACCTGGCGAGCTTGGTATAGCTTAACGAAACACACACACAGTCCGGTCTGGGGCAATTGTCTATGCCAATGATAAGAATCTGCGCCACTTCCTCAAACAATCTTCTTCCATGGGCGTAACAACAATACTCGTAACACCCAAACGCCTGTCAAGCAGCTGCTGCAGTTGGCACAGCAGAAGTTGAGCTGTCTCGGCACGATTTGCTGCCTCAGAACGAAACCAGTTACTGACCCATCGAACCAACCGCCACGTATAGTACGCTCCATCAGCATCACCGGGACGCAAATGGAACAGTGGAAGCAAGGTGTCGCCAGCTTGCTTGGAAACGCTTCGTACAATGCTGGCCGGGCCGCAGTACTCGCCCTGCGCGCCGTTCCAAGACGGTTTTGAGCACCCGGGGTGGGCGCAAGTCACACCTGCAGCCTTAGTTGATAGGCACAATATCCGCCGACTACAAAACAGCGTGTTGGACTTGAGAATGACGCATTGCCTCCCCTAAAAAATACATAAAACGGCAATTCTAGCCTGAAAACTAGTTTGAACAAGTATAGACACATTATAATAAATTACCTTATTCATTTACAATAAATCCCCTCAATATTACATAAGGTTAATACATCATTATCATCTATTAACCTTATCTAAGTTACCAATCATTGTTCCTCAGCTTGTATCTTTCCTAAATTATGTTGATGCTTTGTTGTTTCAAGATGTCTTCCAAAATGCCCTTGACTTATTGAAAAATTGCAAACATCACAACTAACAATATATTTATTTCTCCTATAAGTCCTTTCCAGTTTCTTTTCTATACTCCTCATCGGTTTCATATCTAATTCTTTGTTCCTCGTTCATTCTCTCCCTATGTCTATTTTGATAGTCTCTTTGAGCTTTTAAACACTTATCACATCGCATATTATCACCACTGAAACTTTCCTTAGACTTATCTTTTTTACACTTTGAACACTTTTTCACTGCTTCCATCCTTATCATAGAACTACCGTATTCTTTAAAGGCGTTTCCATGACTTGGAAAGAGACAAGCAAATTAAGAAAAATTAAAATAATTCAATTTTTACAAACCATAAGTATAGTATAATTACAACATATAAGATTTTACATGTGATAAGTATATCACAATTAAGAATTAAGGATTAAAATAATAATCAGGTAATAAGTCTTCAAATATGTAATCTACATCTCCTGACTGTCTCCCTGAAAGAGCACAAACCTTGCATTTGGGGCTGTCCAAAAAGGGACAAAAACCATACACCAAAAGCGGTGCACGCATACACCAAAAGCGGTGTACGCATACACAAAAAGCGGTGTACGCATACACCAAAAGCGGTGTATGTTAAAAAGGGGCTTTTTCTGACAGTGGGCAGCCTCAAATTATTTAACCAACCAAACTCACCAAAATTTCACTGAATAAACTACTAGGTATTTTACATAGGTCGTATCTCCCCATTTTTCCTTGGTTCCACTTGGCAAACGTTGCGCAGTTTCAATATGTTTGCTATTCCTGATGTTGCCACAATCCTTTTTACATAAACCTCTAGGTTTCCAAGTTGTAATGTTATTCCAAAGCCTAGTTCTCTTTCTGTATGGCATTCCATATTTACAATAATCAACATCTTTAAGTTCAAACTCATCCATAAACTCCTGATTTTTAGTACTCGAGTTTGGGGATCTTCAATTACAAAAACTTAGGATTGACATATTTGATAATCTCAATATGTTTTAAAACTATACTATTAGCATATTCAATGTTTCTGATTCCTGTTGTTTTTGCTCTACTGTATTCCGTGCATGGAGGACTTGCCCACACAAAATCAAAATGGTTCCTATCAAACTGTTTATAATCCCATTTCAAAATATCAGCATTTATATCATCATTTTTTCAAATCCAATGAAATAACATTGAAACCGAGCGACTTTGCAACAAGTCCAACACTGCCTGTTCCACTAAACATCTCTAATAAGTTCATGTTTAAAGATATTTAGATAATACTCTATGAATAAATCCCTGTATCTTCATCATAGTCAATTTGATAAAATGTCATAGTGGAAGACTTCGGTTCTTTAATTTCTTTGTTATTAAATTTGTTTAAATAAATATTTCTTGTATTTTTATATTCGCCACTGGTTCTATCTACTTCTTTACTTTGATAACTGTTTGTTAATGGTTTCTTCTTTTCCGTTTCTTGTAAGATTTCTAAAATATTCTTATTCTGTTCTAAAACCTTGTTCAGATTTTAACAATCTTTTCTAATCCTTCATCCATGTAAGTATATACTATATTATAAAACTAAACTTTTAAAACTAAATGTTGCAATTACGTTAAATCTACTCTTTAAATACTAATTTTTCATTATTTCACGTATGTTTCCTGTGTTTCGTTATCACCATTTTCCGAAAGTGATGCATCCTTACCCCATTTAAAAGTTATATTATGAACATCTGTTTCTAAGTTGATACTGTCTTGAGTTTTATCAATATTCATTTTCTTATCATTTTTACTTATTTTGAAACTTGTTGGAATACACGAACATTTACAATTTCCTTTCTTTTGTACTTCTAATTCATTTTTCATTTCTAACATCTTTTTACACATCGGACAAGCAAACTCAATAACTGATGGTTCTTTAACAATTTCTTCTTTTTCTTCATCAGTTGAAGAAACAACTGGTTCTGTCTTATTCTTTTTTCTTCCCATTTATATTAATATTTACATTATTATTTTTGATGTATTGTATCACAAACTTACTTTTTCTAAAACAAAATAGCATACTTTCTTGCATCTATTATCAGTTATAACAACTTGTTCTATATTCTCTACTTCATCTACTATATCAATATAATCTGAATAACTTCTATCCATATTAAATAATAAGATGAAATAATTATTAAAATAATTATTTGAACTTATTATTTCATGCGTGGTACAATATTCGGAGGGCACTACAATGGAGTTTTCTTTGCACTGGACAACGCAAGCGAGGTTCAAACTGATTCAAACTAATTAGTCTCAATGCTTATGATTGAAGTTGATGAAAGAGCCTGTTCTACTACGATAGACCCCATTCATATCATAGCAATGCTTTCATACAATAAATAATACTAAATTATTTTCTAAATATCTTTAATATTATTTTTGTTACGCCTGATGTAAAACCAACTGATGAAATCAAATATGACTTTAAGCAAAGTAAGCACGAGGTTGTACCTAAATTACCGATGAGAGCGATGATTGTCGGACCATCTGGAAGTGGAAAATCAACTTTACTTGTACCAATGATACTTGATATTTATAGAGGAGCATTTGAAAGAATTTTTATCTGGTCGCCATCAGTAAATTTAGATAGTATTTGGTTGCCAGTGAAGAAATACATTAAAGAAGGTTTGAAAGTAGATACTGATAAAGAACCGTGTTGGTGGGATGAGTTCAATGTTGAAGATTTAGAAAGAGTTATAGAAACTCAAAATAAAATCATTGAATATCAGAAAAAAACAAGGAATGAAGAAGTTATTTAATATACTAGTTTTATTGGATGATGTATGTGATAATCCAGCAATAACAAGAAATAACAAATTGTTAAATTCTTTATTTTGTAGAGGTCGCCATAGTGGAATATCAACACTTGTAAGTCCAAAAATCATCAACTGTTCCACCAATTATTAGAGTAAATGTAAGTCATTTGTTTATTACAAAGTTAGAAACTTCAAAGAAATTGAAATATTGCAAGATGAATTATCCGCAATTGTTAGAAGCGATAATTTACACGAAAGCAAGAAACTAATTCTAAAATATATGAGACCGCCACTGACGAACCGCATAGTTTTTTATATACTAACCTTTTAGAAAAGAACCCCGATAAAATGTTTATGAAAAAGTTTTCTCAATATTTGAGAATAACTAATTGAGTAGTTAATATATTCATAATATTATAGAATGTTAAAAACGTTTCAAGAAAGAATATATGAAGAACCAGTAAGGTTTTTCGGCGGTAACATACCAAAACAGATTCAAGAATACCGGAAGCAAAGACTACAACAATTAGTAGAGTGTGAATGTGGTGAAACTTTTTTAATGAAGGATGCTCCTGACCATATTGAAAGTGATTGTCATATTACTTTTAAGCAAAAAAAAAAGAAGGAAAGACTTAGAAGAACATTTACGTATAGAAAATGATACTGATAGTGAAGATGAAACTGATAATTGTAGTGATGATGGTTCAACAAGAGTGCCAGATGATTTAAAAATAATTACATATGTTAGATTTCAAAAAGCATTGAATATAAAATAAGTATTTAAATATATTATGATTTTTTGGACATTAAACCATGTGTTATCTTATAATTTAGGTGATGTCAGATTATTAAACTCAAAGGAGAGGGAAACACAGTTTTGTCAACAACGGGGGAACCCGGGACCTTAAAAGGAACGAACCCCTCCGTGACTGCGACCTCTCCCTTTACCTTGTGGGAAGCGCGAGAAACGCGCTCTTTTCAGCACTTGAGCCAAAGCAATGATTGGGTCATGCTCAGGCATTGACTTGAATGTGCAACTGACTACATGAGAACCTACCTCATGTACCTCTGGGCCATAAATGTCATCGTGATAATTGACTCCCCCCTCATTGACGGCACTGAGGGAGTGTCTTGGGCGCATTGCCACGCCAACTTGAAGTCAAGTTTACATCACAACGACTGACGCAAGTTATTCAAGCATCGCCCAGGCACTTTGCACACTTTTGGAAATTTTGCGGACATGCTGCAGCGCACTAGGCAGCTGCTTTAGCGGATCTACTTTCACGAACGTCTTCAAGCTTCTCTGGAAGGTCAACACGAATGCCGAGCAACCGGATGGCATGGTCCCACTTGTTGGGTGGAAGTGCTTTCGTGAAGATGTCTGCTGACTGCATGTCGGTTTGGACGTATTCTATCGAGATATGTTCGCTTTCAAGCTGCTCTGCGATGCACGCGAGATTCACCTTGTGGGTGCGCTGGACACAGCGTAGCTTGGATGAGAAACCCTTCTTTGCTACGAGGATAGTCGCCTGGTTGTCCTTGTGGATCTTGAGATGGAATGGTCTGTCCAAGATCAGCTCCCATAAGCTGAGCGCAGGGAGCGCCTCCTGATAAAGGGAGTACGCGAGGGATACGATCTCCGCCTCGGTTGTCGATCGGGAGACCGAGGTCTGCCTTTTA